AATGAAATACTCTAATATTGTTCTTAGCTTGACTAAGATATCATTGTTTTATTTGAGGTTTTAAACTTATTCAACTTTTGAAAATCTTTACATATGTATTTTTTAAATTATATTTCTGCATGCGTTTAAAGGGTGCTCCTTTTTATGTATTGATATACACTTTATCTTGTCTTAGCTTATGAAAATATGACCGTGTTCATGCAAATTATACAGCACACTTTTTACAAAAAAAAAAAAAAGGATATTACAAATAAGTGAAGCAGGAATCTGGGGGGAACATAGGGATTTTTTTAGAATTGGGGTCCATAGAAAAGTGTGGGGCTGCAGACTGGGAGCAGAGACATTTCCATAACACAAGGAAGCCAGCTGCAGTTACATTTCTATAAGACAAAGGAACTAGAAGTAGCCAATAAAGGTCTATATTTACAAAATAAAGAGGAGAAGAAAGCCCAAAGGGGGGAAAAACACACAAAACAATGAGGAAGGGGGGGGATGGGAGAACCTCACAGGTCACACAGTGAGATTCCACCTTTGAGCCTTGGAGTTACCATAGTAATGAGCCTAAGGGAATAGTGACCAATAAGAGGGGATATCAAGATACCAGGATCTGCAGCCTTTGTAAGTCATAGGGAAAGGAAACTCAGTGGGACTCTTCCCCCTCCCCACAAGGGAGTTCATTCTGTGGGATTCTTCCCTCTCCCTATGTGGGAGTCCGTACTTATTCTTCAATAAATGTCCACCTTTTGCAATACCACTTTCTGTCTGTGGATTCATTCTTCGATTCTGGCAGACAAAGAATCCGGATTCCAGTAAAAAAAATTCGGTATCTTAAGCATTGTTTGTGACTTTGTTATGTATTTTTCCCCCTACTAATGTAAATAGAAGTAATTTAGTGGAGTTCAAAAAGGAAGTGACCTCTTTGATACTTAGATTTATTACATCTTGTGGATATGGCCTATTTGTGACTATTGTATCAATGGGAGGGAAAATGAAAAGTAAGAATTATCTTCTCCCACCGAGATGTGCTAAGTGCAAGGTGCTAAGAGATGTGGAAAAGAATGTGAAGGATTAAAAATAACGCTGGGCTTTGAATGTTTTCCTTCTACTTTAGTTTACTATTTTAAATTATGCTTCGTATTATTTGGGTAGCAAGTTTCCTGATGAGTGACACTTGAGTAAAAATGTATTTTACATAAATAAAAGAAAACAATGAAGAAGGCAGTGAAAACATGGCTCTGGGATAATACCCTGAGCTTGTTTGTTTGTAAGATTTGGGAGCTTTGTAATTTAGAAAGCTCCTTGTGATGTATTAATTAACTGAAAACAGGAATGTACTGTGTCCAAACAGTGCATATATTGAGAGGGTGTGATCTGCTGGGAAGGCCTGTGTAGGATTTATGCTGTAAAAACACAATGAAAAGACCCAGGCAGAAAACAGCTTCCTGAAAACTGTACTTTTGATGTGTTGATGACATGAAATGGATGGAGTTAGGGGGAATAATGACTTAAACATTAATCCTTCCTCTCTTCAGACAGGCAGGATCTTGAGGAGTTCCATAGACCTTGCATGGAAAGAGAATTTAGCAAATTCCATTACTTTATCTTTCATAAAACTCAGTATTTTTCATATATACATGAGTACTTTGTATAGGAGTTACTCAGGTCTAGTAAATCCAGGAGGAAGCCAGTTAAGAATCAAATGTTTGGGCCGAAATCGGTTTGGCTCCGTGATAGAGCGTTGGCTTGGGGACTGAAAGGTCCCAGGTTCGATTCTGGTCAAGGGCATGTACCTTGGTTGCGGGCACATCCCCAGTAGGGGGCGTGTAAGAGGCAGCTGATCGATGACTCTCTCTCATGGATGTTTCTAACTGTCTATCTCTCTTCCTTCCTCTCTGTACTTTGCACTCTGGGAGGGTCTTCTGTGAGATACTATTAGGGCATGGGGCCCACTTAAGGCATCTCTGACTAAGCACATTGCATTAATTTAATTCCAAAACAAGACTCTCAGGTTTGGTCCACCAGCCTTCTCTCCATTACCTTGCAGCCAAAAGCATTACTTTATGAGAGCTGTGAGTCTGGGCTCTTGGGGTGCTTCTAATGCCATGGCTTATTGAGGAACACCATCATAAATGCTATAACATACCGAGACAATGGCTTCCACTGATGTACATGTATTAGTTGTCGCCAAAAGTGTTCATATCAGCCTTAAGAAACATTACTATTTGTTATTTTTTGACGTTTCCCAGGGAATAAGATTTTCTTTTGCATTTGCAGCATTTATGAGAAACCTATATATGTGCCAGCGACCTTTCCAGAACTAATAACTATCGCATAGCTGTCAAATGAGTCACCGTATTGTCAAAGCCTTGATAATAAACAACTGGAGAGTTGATCCTCATGACTTCCCTTATATTTCAGTTTTAACTAACAAGGTCATTGATGTCTGAAATCCACTGTGTATGTGTGTATGTGTACACATTTCACATATGCATGATTCTTTAAATCTCTAAAAGTGATCATCATGCCATAGTAGCTAGCATTTTAAGATGAAAAAGATCAAGAAGAACAGGAATACATTTAGAATTAAGAGGTATGAAATGAGGTGAAAAAGAGCTAAAGAAAAGGCTTTTATTGTAAAAGCTGGCTAACAAAATTTTAAAATACACAGTTTTTGGGTTGTTGTTTGTGCTTCCAGGATAGTAGTAGAATTATCTTTGTCTCAGACCTTTACAGTGATCCTGCCCAGATAGTTAGGGAACAGACGTTTCAGAAGTAATCTTTCTGTGAGGAAATGGCCTAAATTACCTAATTATGGGGTCCTTCTCTCTCTTTCTCTTTCTCTCTTCTACCACTTGGAGGAAAGCTGTGTGGGAAGTAAAAATTCCTCTTCTCACTATGTTTTGCACATTGTCAAAATTTATTAACAGTATTTTCAGAAGAATGACAGGGTTATTAGACATTTCATGGCAGAAAGTCAAAAACAATTTTGCATCCTGTTTGGTCAAAACTTGTAAAATTTTTAAGAACCACAGAAGTGAAAGTGGTCTTTCCATGCAGGTGTTAAATGCAGATTTGCCAACTTTTTAGAACTCGAGCTTCAGAGAGAAAAACAGAGTCAATAGTATACAATAATATTAATTATTAAAATGTAAGGAATAAATGCTATTATAACATGAAAAACCAAGAATCACAAAAATATATGAAAACCTTCATTTAGAAGGCCTAACCTATGGCCATTCATATGAAATATTATCTTTGTCTATATCATTCAAAAAAAAAACAACAACAGTTAAATATTTTAAAAATACAAAGAAATTTTTAAATGCACTGGTAAATTAATAGTTTCTGTTTCCTTTGGTATACAAAACACTGATCTAATTTATGTTTTTTTTAATTTTGATGGATACTTTCATTGAATCAACTTGATTGATATGTATAATGTTAAACATGAATAAAACCTAAAATAGTTTATTGGCATGCTAGCAATGTAAGTTAAAGTGTTTTTATAATTTAAACAAAGGCTATTGTGTTTCTATGATGGAAAGACTGTATATAGCTTATTTTTTATAGTTTTTAAAATTTTATTTTCATCCCTGTGTTGCTATCTGCTCATGGTGAAATTTATTTTATCTTGTATTTTCTGGGGAGGAGGTAGGATGGAGATGGAGGGAAACAATGGGGGGAAGGGGAGGAGACATCTGTGATACTTTCAATAATAATGGTAAATTAAAAAAAAAGAGAGAGAGAGAGAGAGAGAGAGAGAGAAACACACACACATAGACAGAAACAAAGCATACATCTCTCCAGACACACAAAGGCATAGGGATCGTTTGGCTTTTTAAACACCCATCTGTTAACACTGTGACAAACAACAACAACACAAATACATTGCTTTGAAAAATCTATGGGAAAAATTAATCTGTAGAACAGTGATAAAGTTGAAAGTAGACAAAACACAGGTGACTTGATGGGGAAAGGAGGAAATACTTGTTATATAGATGTATATTTGCATCCATATTTACATATTTTCCCAGGTAGTTAATTAATTCACTAAATATTTTGTAAGTAAGTACCTGTTAGTTCGGACTACTGGTCTAGACATCTTGACAGATACTAGGAGTGCAAAAATGAAATGTCTTAGCCTCTATCAAGGAGGAGTATGAAACAAGCAAAATGAGAAGAATATAAAACAACTTCCTGGTGGACAGGAGTCATGACTGTATGGTATAAGCCTGTGTACATTACAGTGCGGTACAAGCAGAGATGTAGCCAACAGGGTGGATAGAAGTGAAGGTGATTCAGGGAGCTTGGATGATGGGGTTTTTGTTTTTTTTTGTTTTGAGTTGAAATCTATGGAATTGTATGACAGAAGAAGAGAAGGGCATAGCAGAGAAAGATAAGTTAGTTTTACCATTACGGTCTAGGGCAGTGGTCGGCAAACTCATTAGTCAACAGAACTGCAAACCATGGCTCACAAGCCTCAGTTTGCTGAACACTGGTCTAGAGAATAAGAGCATACTTTCAAAGTATAGGATAAGAGAAAAAGAGATATAGGATAAAATATCAATTAATATAGAATGATAGTTTATATTTTCAGACAAGACCAATCATATGACAAAAATTATAAAATAATTTATTTTTTTGTATCTAAAAACTACATCACTGCTAGTTGTATACACCGTTTATACCAGGTACCCAGAATTTCATGCTACCAACCATGCTATATTCCCTCAGTCTCCTTCAGAACTGCTTGCATTTCGGTTCTCACTCCATCCCATCTCTTCTACTTTGTGCGCCATTGCTTCTCACTTAGTGGTTGATGAAAAGCAATCTGATAAGCTATTTCTTTCTAAGGTTTAATTACCTAACAGCTTGATTATTAAATCTCCAAGGGTATTTGGATTTTGAATAGAGGACTGTTGGATGTTAAAAGTCTTAACTCAATGGAATTAATTATTGACTTTTTTTTTTAAGTGGGTAAGACATTTGATTGGGACAAGGATGAGACAGAGGAAAGTAACTCAGCACACGTCATAGTTTTAAGAAACCACAAGCTCAAATAGGAATAGAATTATATTCAGAGTTAAAATCATTGTTTTTCAGGTATGTGTGTTGTTAATATTTAGATATATTCCTAAGGCATATCATGATTTACTTATTTAATTTGTTTGATTGGTAGGTCCAAAGAAATATCACCCCCCCAAAAAAATATTTTCATGCAATAAGTTATTTGACCAAATCTCTATGATTCTTTGGGGTTACCAAATGAATAGAGCCTTAACCATCACTTAGAAAACTTATTTGGAATGTGAACAGAGGACACAGAGACTCAGCTAGTAGAATGGGCAGAATGTAAGCAACAGAGAGAGAGAGAAATCAGGCAGTGAGCTAGTGTCTAGATTTTGGATTCAAACCTACTTAAATCCAGGTTCAGAAATGTCCTGCCCATTTGATCTTTGGTCAATTTGGTGATTAATTGCTCCACACCTCAAGCTTTTTCTTACATCATTTGAGAATGCAAATGATGCATACATTAAGTTGTTGAAATAATAAATTGGAACTAAATAAAAGGTGCTTAGTAAAATTGCAAGCATCACACATTAAAGTAAATGCAAGGAAAATGTAATTAATTAAAAGCATTTAGGCAAAGAATAAAGTCATTTTTTAAAATTTACTTTTAACTTCAGGGTAGTAGCAGCAGAGAGAAAAAACATTTAAGATACCATCGTACTTCATTCTGCTGTAAGGAGGAAAGGAAGCTCTTTCCCAAGAAGGATGATAAGTACACAGCATTCTCCTATTGGGTTAAAATATATCATATTGAGATAGTAAATCTATTGAATATCTGCAGAAACTTTTTTCCCTAAGAGGTTTGCTGTATATCTTCCCAGTTTTCCATTGAACATTTCCTTCGTGTACATTTACAATAAATCTTCAATATCCAAAATAAGTTCAGAACATGTGTTTCTTGTCTCTTGAGAAACTTCATAATTACTGAATAAAAACTCACAAAAATGAATTGTTCAAAATTAAATAAATAAATAAATAAATAAGGTTTAAATGTAATGCCACCACACATGTAAGCAAGGTAATCAACTCCTGTACCTTGTTTGTTTTTCATCAATAGATGAAGTTCAAATAATATATCTAGATAAAATGCCTGGTGTGGTTCTTGGCTGATAATGAACAAAAATATGGTTATAATTATTATAAGATGAGGAAATTTAGTAAACATCTAGCATTGCAACAGATGACTCTTTAGAACAAAATCTAAATATGGGAGTCAATGGCAAGTGTGTTATGATCCAAGAGGATATATATATATGCCATGGAAAAGAAAATGGGATCTTATTTTGCATGAAGGTAAACAATCATTTTTCTTTACTCAGTCATCATCTAGAGGACTTAGTTTTGAGAGTAATATTTTAAGAATGACTTAAATAAACTATAGAAATTATGATGAAGAAGATGAAGCAATTTGTAACTTTTTATTTGGAAAAGAGAAATATATAAAATTGTTACTCTTAAAATATTTAGAGTTGGTATGCTTGAAGTGAGTAATAGGTGAGGATTTGCTGGAGAAAATTCTTAGATTTTTCAATCAAATTTTGATGCAAAGGAGAAAGAATCAAAGTTTGAGCAAATATATGGACAAATATTATGAAGAAGATCTGTCTAATAATTCAATGATATGTTTTTATGTTTGGAAATTATATATATATATATATATATATATATATATATATATATATATATATATATATTACAAATATGGTTTTTTTGTAATTTTTCCTTATTGATTAAGATATTACATATGTGCCCTTATCCTCCCTTTGTCCCCCCAACCCACTCATGCCCTCACCCCCTTACTGTTTGTATCCTTTGGTTAGGCTTATATGCATGCATAGAAGTCAGTCCTTTGGTTGATTTCTTCCCCTTATTCCCACCCTCCCCGACATTCCCTCTGAGGTTTGACGGTCTGATCAATGCTTCTCTGTCTCTGGATCTGTTTTTGTTCATCAATTTATATTGTTCATTGTATTTCATAAATGAGTGAGATCATGCGATATTTATCTTTCTCTGACTTGTTTATTTTGCTTAACATAATGCTCTCCAGTTCCATCCACGCTGTTACAAATGGTAAGAATCTCTTCTTTTTTTTTTTAAACCACAACATAGTATTCCATTGTGTAGATGTACCAGAGTTTTTTAATCCACTCATCTGCTGATGAGCACTTAGGCTGTTTCAAATCTTACCTATGGTAAATTTTGCTGCTATGAACATAGGGGTGCATAAATCCTTTTGGATTGGTATTTCTAGTTTCTTAGGATATGTTCTTAGAAGTATGATACTGGGTCAAATAGGAATTCCATTTTTAGTTTTTGAGGAAACACCATAAAAATATGTTTTTATTATTTATTTAGAGAGAGAGGAAGGGAGCATGAGAGAGAAAAACATCAATATGAGAGAATCATCAACCAGCTACCTCCTGTATTCCCCCTCCTGTGGATTGAACCCACTGGGGATGGAATCCATAATCTGGGCATGTACCCTGACCAGGAATCAAACTGGTGACATCAGGTGCAAAGAATGATGTTCAACCAACTGAGCCACAGGAGCCAGGGCTGGAATTTTAATTTTTGACCAGCTTTTAGTGATATGTGATTTAGACTAAACATGAGGAGGAAAATACACATCATGATTGTCACCAACCTCCCATTCTCAAACCATGAATATATTCTCAGCACAGGGCTCTTCCTCACTGTACTGATGGATATCCTTTAATCTATAATCTTAATAGAGTCCTTTAAATTCTATTTAAAATAGCCACTGCCATCAATTAGTATGCCATTCCTGCTAGATGATCTTTGAGGCCCTATATAGTCTATTAATAATACCTCATTATATTGATTTTAGAATTATATTCAATCATTAGAAGAAAGGGCATTATGTCTTCCATTAACTTATATAGAGGTAAGGAGAATCAAAATTTTAACCAATGTTGTAATGTATATTTCTACAATAAATAATGTTGATATAATTTCAAAATCTCAACAGAATTACCAGATGGTATATTTTCTAGACAAGTCAAATTTATAACAATGTATTTTTACATTTTGCAATACAACGTAAAGCCTAATAATAAGATCTGAATTCTGCAAATACTAGACAAATCTGCAAGTATAACATTCTTCTCTCCCAGCGAACATCCTGTGAATTCATAAATATTTACATATTACAAGTTATAATTATGTAGCACTGGGGAAAAGGGAAATGTAACTATATATCTACAAGAATATAAAAGAACATTCATAAATTACAAATGTGCATTGTTGTAAGAAGGGTACCTACTGAGCTTTTGTATCTTAAGGCCAAAACATAAGACAAGTTTCTACATCCCCCCTCAGTGGAATAAAAAAAAAATTATAATTGTAAGTTTGAATGACTATTGATTGCTTATTATAGTTTCTATTAATAGTTGTAAATGATTATGCAAGAGCACATCATTGTAGGTATTTGATAATGTAGAAGGGAAAGTTTATATTGCTACGGAGATAATCCTCTTTAAGAAACTGACAAGCATGATTATAAAAAATACTGTAAAGTATGTATTTGCCTTAAAACAATTACCAAAAATAGTGCAGTTAAATGCTATCTTGTTACTGCTTTTCATGTATTAGTTGGCTTCCTACAGTAAATTCTGTCATAGATTAGTATGAACACTAATAAAGGTCTGATACATAAAGTAAGATTTAAGTTTAGAAATCTTTTATGCATATATTTGTTTTGAGTTATCCCAAAGCTTTAAAAAATGAAAACTGAGAAATGTCTTCCACACTTTTACCCTATTTTCCAAAGGAATTATCATTATTTACATTCTTTTCATTATCTTATACTCCCTTCTTATTATTCTTTTCATTACAAAATATTCCAACCATTTAATTACTTCATAGCTATATTGTTATGCATATCTCTGCAGATACATTTATATATGAGAGCAAATTCAGCTGCAAACAGTCTCATCTCTGAGGTTGACAGCTCTTGCACAGCAGTGACCTCCAGTCATCTGATCAAATTTTGGGTTACTTACTAGCTATAATCAAATATATTCTCATCTCTTATTTGAACAAATCATACAGAAATTGAATACAATTTTCTATGAACACTAGCAATATGTTCACTTCTCTGATAATTTTGACATTAAAATTCCATCTTAATAATCCCATCCTTCAGGCTTTTCAGACTCTTAAGGTATTAAAGCAAAAATTATCCTAAGCAGTTAGATTATAATGTATTTAAAGATTAGACATTTCATGTTGAATATTAACTGCTCCATTTCCCAGGAAAAGAAGACTATGCTGATTTTATTTTATAATTTATACAATTCAAAGGCCAGCTATCCAAGTTTCCAACCATGTTACAAGAAAGCATGGTTAAAAGTGGACGTGAATGCTACATAGAGTTTTAAAGATATATGCGATGAATGGCATATTTAGGTAAATTAGAAATATTTACAACAATTATTTAATTTTATTTCACAATAACATACACAGTGTTACAAAATTTGACTATACCAAATGCTTTATAATTGAAAAAACAGTTAACTAAAATAGTTAAGTGTTCTATTTAAAAAAAAAAGTATGCACCATGTTAACAATAGCTAATAAATAAGCTATTTATTAAGTATACCCTTTATTATTTGAAATGAAATAAATTAAAGAAAATGTAAATTAACAGATGGGAAAATGACCTATTATATTGTTTTTCAGGCTGAAAAGGACCAATGAGATATTAGCTATGATATATTTGTACTCTGGAGAGTCTATATATGACTGGCTCATAAAAATAAAAGCCTGCCCTATTTTAAATTTCTCCAGAGAAAATATTTTTGAGCTGATTTCTATATTTCAAAGTAAAAATTTAAAAAAATTCTAAACCTTGTGTTTTTTTTTTTTATGGCCATCTTTCTTTCATATAAAATATGAACCATCTTTCATATAAAATATGAACC